GGCCCATCCTGCCATGTCACGGTTGACAAAGAGCAAAATCTCCCCCTGCAATTCTCCTTTCAGCCTCCTCTGCTTCTCTATTCCCCATTCGTTCAGCAGATCCTGCCTTGGGCCAAATGAAGTCACTGTCCTCCTAAAAATTACCCATCTCCTCATCTACCAGGAATGGAGGTAAACCTGCTGTGGCTCGCACGTTCTTGGTGGCGATGCTAAGGCCCCAAATGCCTGCTCACCCTTTTGAAATTTGTTGTGAGTTTTCATAAGCACTGGCTTTCTTTACTCAGGGGACCTGTTAGCATTTTCCCTCCACCTGTTGGGTCACACCTGTGAAGCAGGATCATTACCAAGAACCTTACGGCGTAACTTCCTAGAAGACTTCAGCGTCCTGGCCATAGGCCGGCCTTGAGAACTGCTAAAGAGCAGAGAGGTTGGGCTTTTAACTGGACTCTTCATACTTATTTCGTGTACATTTAAATGCTTCCCTGAGAATTGATTAAAAGGAAATGGCTTCCAACGTTAACTGAAGACCAGCAAGTGGGAGTAATAACTAAGGGCCCCGGCACTTAATGCACGGGGAGCGCGTTCAGAAAGACGCACACCTCCGGACACGCTGTAAACCTCTGATGTCTAGTTGGCCTGAATCCATTTGTCCATTATCCTGGCATTCCTCCCTCATTCCAGACAAGGCTTAGAATGTATTCTGAACCTCACTTAACTGTACCCATATTTTTATCAAGCTGTGTGTAAATTAATCCAAAACACGAAGCCAATATCCATCATGCTACTTTAGGAAGGCAGGGAGAGGGGTGTGTGTGTGTGTGTGTGTGTGTGTGCGGCCAGAGGAGGTTCACGATGGATGAAGGTTCATCCATTGAAGACCCATCTGTGAGGGGTGGTGACTGCGTCTCTGCAACTTTGGGGGAACCGATGTATATTTCAGTGCTTGGAACTTTCTTCGCTCGAGGTCGAAAATTGCTTCCAAGAGAACCAAGCGGAACAAACCACCAAAGATCACTTTTTAGGATAATTAAAACTATTTTGGATTTTTTATTTATCAATCTGGTTTCTAATATAATTTCAGTTAAATGAAAGACATTCACAAAGAATATTAGGCATACATACATAGTTTCCTTCTTTCATTCTATTTTACATGCTGTTGCTTTTAGAGAGTGAACTTTTGTGTCATTTCACAGGGTGGAATCCTAATTGACTTTACAGAAAGAATACTTAGCCCAGCTTTTCAGAACCCTGACCTCCGCAGTCACCATGCTCACTGAAAAAAATGTAAAAACCCAACCGAACTTAAGAATCAGTAGCATCTGAATGGTTTCTTGGCCTACTCGAGAGGATGTCTTCATAGCCATGTCAGAAGCCAGCAGCTGCTGTTTAAAATAAACTGAGACTTGGAAATGTTGCAGACCATCTGCGTAGACCTGCTCTTAAAGCACATTTCCATCTGGAAAGTAAACTTGTACGTGCACATTGGATATTAATTCCTGCATGCTCAGGTATCTTTCCCACCTTCTGCCAGTCTTTGCTCCACGGGAGATGCTCCACTTTTCAGCATGGTTTCCCTATTTCCTCGACAATGAATTTTGCATACCACTGGTATCCGGAAAATACCACTGTGAAAGAAATCTATTCTAAAGTTATCAACATTATCATGCAGGGTATGTGTAGTGTAGGCACAGTGCTGCTAGGCTACGTGAAAAAATCAAATTTGTTTCTCGTGTTGTCTTATGTATGAGCCAGCCCAGTGGTACTGGGGCCATGTGTGAGCCCTGAGTCACATCTGGGTGGGAACTTAGGACCTTGTGCAGGTGAAGTTCTGATTTCTCTGGCCTTTGGCTGGTGCATCTCCCAGGGTTGAAGGTTAGCTCTCGGACAGTCCAGCTGATTAATAATTTAGCAGTTGTACAGCAACGCCTCCTAAGCCTGCACACTCCCAGATGTGGCCACATTGTCTCTATGGTGTGACTTAGAACCACAGGCCAGGAAGTAAGTCTTCCAGTAGGCTCCGTTGACTTGGGCCTTTGTATGTGGGTGTCACAGTGTGCTGCAGTCAAGAGCCAATGGCACCTCCCAGTTGTCCTATTAAGTAGGCAAAACAGCTGTATTTTAAACATGGGGCAAAGAGGGACCCGAGATTCAGCGGCTTGACCAAGATCACATTAGCAAGTCAGGGAGAGAGAAGGGGTTAGGACTCTCTCCGCTGATCCTCAGGGTCCACTCTCACCACAACATCACTTTAAACATGGCGCCCATTGGTTTTAGCCCAAATCAGCTAGACGCGCTGCTTGTTTCCCCTCTGTTTCAACAGGGGTTGGTTCTACTGCCACTAGTAATTTAGGACCTATTTTTGGCCGGTTAACTGGAATTCAATTTAGTAGTAACTGCCGCCTCTCTTTTTGAAAACTGCTTGACAAGATGATGAAGAGGAAACAATATTAAGGGGTTTCAATCAGGTGCTAATTATTTGGAGGCACAGAGAGACCATTGGTGCTTACACCACACAAGAAAGGAGAGGGAGAAAAAGAGCAAGTGGGAGGAGGGAAGAGAACAGATCCTGTTACAGAAGGAAATAAAGTTTCTTCTGGACAAATGCTGACAGCACGTTTTCATATCTGGCAGCTACTTTGTCTTTAGGTGCTTCCTACGGCTACGTCTGGGTACCCAGCTTTCTGGTGGCATCTGGGGGCTGCTCCAAGGACATTCAGCAATAATATAAGATCTATTCTTTGGCTCATGCCAATTCTTTTTCCTATGCCTCTGAGGCCCTGCTCCTGGTGGTGAAGGATGCTTGTTGAGCAAATGCAGGGCAACAGGAAATTGTCCACTAGAGGCACTCCAAACCCTTCTTCTTAATAAAAACGTCTATAGAACAAGTCTCTCTCTCTTTCTCTCTCTTTTTGAGCCGTTGGCTGAAAGTCACAAGGGCAAACATAGCCTTCTGGATTATGAAGGGTCAGAGAAGAATTTGCCAATACAAGCTCTCACCTCCCGAGCTACCTTCCTTGTGCTCTAGGGAATCCGTTACTTTGAGTGCTGAGAATGGCACCCATCTTGCTTTCAAAGTCCTGCTCCTACCTTCTCAAAACACAGATGCTTGCCTTAACCACAGAGGATGTTTCCTGCACAAACCACCCTAAGTCAAGCCATCAGCTTTCCTTGGAACGTTGGAGCAGTCTCTTGCTTCTAAGAAGTTTTCCTTTTGTTTTTGCTTAGTCTGTTCTTATTACTTAAAGAGGCTACCGTCAGCCTCTTTGTACTTGATTGATAATGTATTGGGCTAGAAGAGGTCAAGATTGTGTGGGATGTGATCGACAAAGCAAGATCAGACACTGAGCTTGGGTCACGATGTCATGGCTGTCCAGGCTACAGTGTCCTGAACTTTCAAGGGAGGGAGCTGGAAAAATAAAGAGATGCTTCCTTATCTTCACATAAATTATTTACCATTCAGAATGTACTGGATATGGCCTTCATAGATCCATTTAGGGCTTTTGGTGAAGACTACAATTCCAAAGAGAAGCTGAAGATTTCCAGCGCTCCCTTGGCACTTAACTAAGTTACTTAATACCTCATCCACCTTCTGGTGTCTTGTCTACTGGCTGGACTGTAGCCCCCTTGAAAGGCAGAGACTGTGTCATATCCTATGTCTTAATGACAGTGACACAGGAGGCTCACTGATCCCTGTGGTCATTCCAGTGCCCTAGAATTTGCAAATTTAGTGAGAGATGTTTTGAGTTATACTTTTTACCTTCTGTGGCAGGAGAATGGGAAGAAGAGAGTGAAGAGAGCGGGTGAGAACGTTTTAGTGTCAGGGGCTGTTCTGGATTGTTTTAACCCCTTAATCATTTTGGGAAGAAAGGGAAAGTGCAGAGACAACGCATAAAAAAAAAATCAAGCAATCACGGGAAATGCAAGAAATAATAAATTTCCACCTGGCATTATTTGTTAGTTGTAAAAGTAAGACCTATAAAACAGGTTTGAAAAATCTGACATGTTCCTACTAAACATAATGTTTAAAACCTCCTTCTGGTAATTTGGCAATATGTGAAAGAACCCTTAATGGTAGTCCTCTCGGTTAAATAAATCGCCTTGGTTTTGAATATGTCATTTGTAATGTTCTATTGTTCTGTTTAGTCATACCACATACTTTTCATTTAACAATGTATATCATGGAATAATGACCAAGACCTTTTGAAGTTAAGGGTATTCACGATAGTGGCTGAGGTCAGCAACTGTAAAAGGGCATTAGGATTCCCTTTTGTTCTGTTACCTTGACTCTAATGGGAATTCACAGGTTCAGTGTCTCCTCTGGAATGTGTGCTGTACTGATGCAATGTGCCACTGGCAACTCTAGATAACATTTTTCATCACCCAACAAGGTGAGATCCTTCAGTAATTTGGGCATACTGAGAATCTTGAAAAAAAAAAAAAACTAACAAACTAGAACTTCCATTTTATTGAGGCACATTATCCAAAAGATAGCAACAATACCCTTTAACCTCATTTTACTCCCTTCCAGGAGGAGAAGGAAAAAAGGGATCCTTTTTAATTCCTCAAAATGCTGAAGTCTGAAAAAAACATCTTCAAAGTACTGATTAAGAGCTTCAACTGTAATGATCATAAATGGTGGTCATTCTAGAAATAACTTTTGTGTAATTAAAAAAAATAAATGAAATTATTTTTTGGATGCTCCACTAGGAGCTGTGTCCCATATGTTTGCATACAAAGTCAATTATTTTTAAATAAAAGGAGTTATTTGTTAGGATAAGTTGGTCAAGATTCCGGATTGGATTGAGGTGCGACTAAACACGTGTCCGTCCTCTGAGAAGCAACAATCAGGTATCAGGTTTGTGCTGAACCTCAGGTTCAAATATATCTACCAAAGAAATCTCTGAATTGTGGCAGTGTGTCTATTTAGGGTGGAACAGTATATGGAGCAGATGATGTGAAATATGGCAGTGTTTTCCATATGATTCAGAGGAAAGCAATGATGATAGTAACCATACTTGGCTTTATTGTGGTATGTCCATTCAGAGGACCTAGTCTGCTAGGGTTTTGTCACAGGGGCTTAAAACTAGAGATTTAAAGCAAAATAAGAAGAGCAACCTAATTAATGCATTCACTAGAAAGTGCCCATACTCTTGCTACAACTAGAAAAGAAACAGAGGCAACAAGGCATAATGTCTAGCTCTAATTCCCCACTGGGGTGCCTACACACAGACAGTGTAACCTAACATGTTGCAGGTAAAGCAGAGGAGAAATCTTCTGCAACAGCTGATCACCACTGGATTATAGCTGACAGTCACAGATAATGGCTAGGTCTAAGACTACACACAAGGAACAGTATTAGATGGTAGAATTTGAGGAAAGATAAATCCAACAATTCCAGTATGAAACCACTTGTTCTTAATGCTTGGTTCTTAATGCTTCTCTCTGTTGGTTATGTTGTTACACAATGGGTGCCATATGCTCTCTTCCTTCAGCTGCTTCAGGCAGGAACTCTCAGAATTGGCAGAGATTGAGGTCTCTTTGAAAACTGGCAAATGATAGGTTCTCTTTGCCCCTTCCTTTCCTTTTCCAATTTACAGGACACCAAAAGAAATACTGTATGAACACGAACTAGTTACTACGATAGCCCATTAAAAATCGACTATACGCAAAAGGAAGAGAATGCTGGAGGCCATGTGCATCAGCTTTTCTCAAGAAAAAATATCCACATTCTAAGGGCTCTTAAAAATGTAGAAAACTTGCCCTGTTACCATGGGTTTTTAGAACACCTCTAAACACACACAAAATAAGACGGTATTACCTACAAATTGCAACCATTTCTTAAACTCTAAAAGCATTTTTTGTATTATTTTGAGTTGATATAGAAGGGGAAACTCAGCTATAAAGAAATATTAAAAAGTATTTTTTTGTGGCGATCAGTCTCCAGAATTTTCTGTTGCTTGCCTCCCCCAATTTGTGCTGATATTTTAAGGATGTGCTCAAGAGTATGAAGTAGGGTGCTTCTGTCTCTTTCCCTCCTCCCTAGTGACTAGCTCCTCCCTCTCCCAGAGCCACATAGCCACCCCTCAGATGAGCCATTCCTTTTTGCTCTCATCAATGGTCTCTGTGAAATTGGGGTCGTTGTTCATGATGGCAGCATCCGCGCTCTCTGCTGACTCTGCTCCCTTTGCTTCGTTGGTGTGGTAGGTGCCCTTGTGGCGGAACATGTAGCGGATGAGGAAAACCAAGGTGCAGAGAATGGTGAAAATCACCACAGCAATGACGCCTGGTGGAGACAGAAGGACTGGAGATTAAACAGACCTTATGGTCATCATCCCTCCAACACTGCTTTCCCCGCAGAGTACACGGTTCTCTCAAACACCACCCTCCCCCATACAAAAACACAAAACTCCAAAACAATAGCAATAAAAATGGACAAGACTGAAAGGAAATTAGACCAATTCACAATTATATGTGGAGATTTTGATGCTCTTCTCTCAGAAATTGATAGCTCAACAGAAGAGGAGGAAATACTGCTTAATTCATTTTTTATAAGGCCAGCATTACCCTGATACCAAAACCAGACAAACACATCCCAAGAAAACAAAACTACAGAGCAATAGTCCTCTTTAACAAAAATTTAGCAAATCAAGTCGAGCAATGTGTGGAAAAGAATATATTATGATGAAGTGGTGTGAATTCTAGGAACAAAAGATCAGTTTAACATTATAACATTAAAAAAATAAAGTGATGGGGCAGCCCGGGTGGCTCAGTGGTTTAGCGCCACCTTCAGCCCAGAGCCTGATCCTGGGGTCCCAGGATCGAGTCCCGCGACGGGTTCCCTGCATGGAGCCTGCTTCTCCCTCTGCCTGTGTCTCAACGCCCCCCTTTCTCTCTCTCTCTCCCTGTGTGTCTCATGAATAAATAAATAAAATCTTAAAAAAAAAGTGATGTAATTTACCACATTAAAGAAATACAGGAGAAAAAGCATAGGACAAACTTCAACCTCTATTCATTATAAAGCTTCTCAGAAAGCATCAATAGAAAGGAACTTTCTCAACCTGATAAAGGGCATCTATGAGAAACCTAGAGTTAATATCTTACTCAATATTAAAAGAATAAACATATTTTCTCTAAAATATGGAACGATGGAAGAATGTCAACTCTCTTAAAGTACTGGAAGACATGCCCAGTGGAATAAAACAAATAAAATAGAAATAAAAAGTGCAGATTGAGAAGGAAAATTTTTCTTTATTCTCAGGTGACACGATTATCTATGTAGAAAATCCTAAGAAATACGTAAAAAAAAAAAGTTTCTAGAACTGACAGTAAAAAAAAAAAAAAAAGAACTGACAGTAAATTTAACAAGGTCATAGGATAGAACACCAATATATAAAAATCAATTGTGTTTTTATATACTAGCAAGAAATACTTGGAAAATATTAAAAATAATAAGGTAATAAAAAAATTTTAAAGTACTAAAATTATACCATTTATAATAAAACAAGCTGAACAGAGTTGCTCAAGGCTGTGTACTCAAAACCATAAAACTGAGAGAAATTAAAGATGTCAACAAATGGATGGATAGACCATATTTAAGAACTGAGGTACCAAAAAAAAAAAAAAAAGAACTGAGGTACCCAATATTTTTAGATGACCATTTATAGATCTAATGCAATTCCAATGAAAATTCCAGCAAACTTTTTTTTAATAGAAATGTATAAGTTGATTCTAAATTTTATATTGCAATGCAAAGGACCTAGAATAGCCAACATAATTTTGAAAAACAAAAAAGAAGTAACTGGAGAATGTATTTTGCCATCTCTAGACTTAATATATTAAGGTAAAACAATAAAGCAAGCATGATACTGGGTAAAGAAATATGTTATATATTATATACATATCTCCATAAAATAGGATAGAGTCCAGAAAACAGATATACACATATATGGTCCATTGATTTTTGGCAAAAGTGCCAAGGAAATTTGGAAAAATAGTCTTTTTAAGAAATGATCTTGGAATAACTAGATATTCATTTGGGAAATAATGGTTTTGGCCTTTATCCCACGTTATGTACTGGTGCTAATCCAAAGTGATTATAGACTCAGTAACAGAAACCAAAGCTATAAAGTTCTAGAAGAAAACAGAAAATCTTCACAACTTTGAGCAGGCATATTTTTAAGATAAAATTTTTTAAAAAATCACAAACTATAAAAAGATTTGAAAAATTGGACTTGATCAAAATTTAAATCTCTTGCTTTTAAAACAACACCACTAAGAAAATGAAAAGGCATGTCACAGACTGGGAGAAAATATTTATGATACATATGTCTGAAAAGGACTATTTAGATTATTAAAAAACCGTTATAACTCAAAAGAAATCAAACAATCCAGTTAAAATAGGGTGAAAGAGTTTGAAACAGGCACTTCACAAAAGATCTGCAGAAGGCAACAGCGCATGAAAGAATGCTCAAAAGGTTAGTCATCAGATAATTGCACACTAAAACCACAATGAGGCACCACAACTCATCCATAGAGCGGCTAAAATTAAGAAGACTGAAAATACCAAATGCTGATAAGATTGTGGAGCAAACCTGATCTCTTAGATATTAATTATGAGGATATAAAGTGGTTCAACCATTTCAGAAACCTGCATGGCAATTTCTTACGAAGTTTAATATCCATTTTTTTCTGGAACACCCAGCAACTGCACTCCTAGGGATTACCAAAAAGAAATGAAAACTTATGTTCACATAAGACTTCAACAAGAATATTCATAGCAGCTTTATTCAAAATAGCTCAGATCTGGAAACAAACTAAACAGCAACAGGCAAGTAGATAAAACAAATCATAGTACGTTCATACAAAAGAATACAAGTCGGCAATAAAAACACACTGTTGATGCACGCAGCAATGTGGATAGATCTCAGAAACACTATGTTGAGCAAAAGAAGGAAGTCACAACAGATGACATCTATATGATTCCATTTATATGACATTCTAAACGAAATAAAAGTAATCTGCATGGCAAAGAGCCAGTCTGAGGTTGCCTTGGTTGGGAATGGAGTGGGGGGAAAGGATGGATTCTCAAAGGACACAGAGCTTTCTGTGGTTGGAAATGTTCTATATCTTGATTGTGGTGGTGGTTATGGGTGTGTCATTGACCCGTTCCATTTGAGTAAGTGCATATTATACTTCAATAAAATTGACCTTAAAAAAGCAAAAAAAAAAAAAAAAACAAAAACCCCAAAACAAACAAACAAAAAAACCCCCAAAAAAACAATGAGGATAGGGACCTTGATAAGATTATGCCAGAACTTTGGACAATGTGATTTAAGCAGCATTTTGAATGTAATCTAGTTTTATAGTCACATATATTTCTTAGATATGGGATTTTTCTAGGGATTTTTCAATCCCTAGGTGTTCCAGAAAGTGGATATTAAACTTTGTAAGAAATTGCCATGCAGGTTTCTCCACGTGGAAAAGAAACATACTGGCTAAGCCAAGGGGATGGGCTAGGTTTAAAGTCCTTGATATGTTTATGATATTGGCTACACTCAGACATTCAGGAAACATCTTTATAAACTAAGAGAGAAGGTGCAGGCAGAGAAGAAGGCAGTGGGCAACAGGGCTCTCAATACTGACCCAGATAGGGAGGGACTGTGCTAGGAGAGTTAAATCATTCTGCAGCCATCCATGGTGAGAAAGAAGGTGGGACTATTTTAGATACTCTGGCTTATTAATTTTCTGATGAGTTTTATTAAGACAACTGAAACCAGACCAGCATAAGCTATCCTGAGCCATTTGGGAGGTGAGGGAATCAGAACGAAAAAGAGAGGTGATGTCCTACCTGCCTGCTCTGGTGCTGGCTAGCTCAGCACCACCTCCTCTTTTTTATAGTTCAGCATTAATAAGCAGGCAGATTGCATTCATCACAGTGTCTCCACATCCATATGTCACAATCTTAAGTCATACTTAAATAGCAAAATGAATCAAGTAAAAATCTAGATGACTGGTTGTTTTTTTTTTTTTAGACTATGATTTTATTGAAAATTATTACTTTCCACGGGTAAGTAGCTACAAGAAAGCCTGTTCTATACATCACCCACCTCCAATGATAGCCGAGTTTCTGTTGACTCCATTTCTTATAGCTTGGCCTTGTCCTGGATTATATGGAAAATCAGCACTGGCTGCAGAGGAAGAAATGAAAAAGTCAAGTGTAAGAGTCAAGGACACCATCAATCCCCCAGAATGTGATGCGTATTTTTTTTTTTAAGTAGGCTCCACACCCAACATAGGGCTTGAACTCACAATCCTTAGACCAAGAGTGAGATGCTCTACTGACTGAGTTGGCCAGGCACCCTGACGCATATTTCTTCATACAACTCTTCAACACTTCCTGTTTTCCCAGATGAGATCTCCGTTTCAGACAGACCCGTCTTATTATTGTTTCCACAAGATCACAGCACCTCCACCCCCAGTTTTGGCTGTTCTCCCTGACATGAGGCCCAGAGAAGCACTATAAATCCTTTGGAGGAATATTAGAGAATCTTAGAACAATCTGAACCAGCCTACTCCAGCTCCACTGACAGGCAGGCTTATGTGCTAGAATATTTTTTCTTATGTTTGGCTGAAATCTGCCTCCTACTCACTTTTATCCCATGCACAACTGGCAACATTGACTATTTTTTCAGGGGTTTTTATAGCTTATAGCATTAGCTTAAAAAGTATACATTTCTTTATTTTTTATTTTTTATTTTTTTAAAGATTTTATTTGTTTATTTATTCATGATAGAGAGAGAGAGAGAGAGAGAGGGGCAGAGACACAGGCAGAAGGAGAAGCAGGCTCCATGCCGGGAGCCCGACACGGGACTCGATCCCGGGACTCCAGGATCGTGCCCTGGGCCAAAGGCAGGCGCCAAACCGCCGAGCCACTCAGGGATCCCCCATTTCTTTAAATTAATATTTTACATGGCTCTAATAAAACATAGTACGTGTCAGGCATTTGTAAGAAGTAACATCTCCTAAGAGTTGAGAATAATATAAACTGCCTAAGGAGATGTCTATTTCCTTCCCTATTCTAAAAAAATAAGAACCAGTTGTATTACATTTCAATCTTCTCTAAGACAGATTACAAGTAGACAAAAGCCAAATAGATCCTGGAGTCTTTCTATAGGTCAGCAGAGTATCTGTCATCATCCACACAAGCCAATTCAGCTTCAAAAATGATTTCACATTCGTTGGACTTCTGTTTTAGAAGTTAAGGTTTACGGCAAATATTCCAACAGAAGCAGCTTCTCCTTCAGCAGATTACCTTAGTCTAGTCAGAGCCATGGTCACGGGATGGCATCAATTAGATATTTTTAAAAATTTTAAAGCAGTTGTTTGGCACAATTCAACATGTACACACTGAGGAAACAGGTTTGTGTTACAATTCAAGGCCAAGCTCACTGAGGGCTTGGGTTTTCCAAGGCTCATCCTTAAGCTCTAGATTTCCAAGGATTCTCAAACAATGTTAAAAAGTAGGTAGAGCCTTTCTTCTCCTTTTCCCTAGGAAATAGGGCAACCAAACAGAGACCAGATTCTACTAGCAAATGCGATTTAACTCTCTTTGACTTGATATTCTTACTGAAGACCGGGAAAATTATACTTTTCTGGACGTATCATGTTCCAAATCAGCTTGGCCATCGGTGCCCTTCAGACCTGTCGATTTGAGTAAAACAGACACTAAGAAAGATATAAATGAAAGAGAACTTAACTCTGAACCCTCAGGAGTTTTCATATTACCCTAACTCCTTAACTGGTGAATATGGAAGAGACCTTTTGGTATTATGTGCTTATTTTAACTGGTCCAATTCTAAATCTAGGGAGACAGGGAAAGGGGCAGAACCAGTGTAAAGTACAGTGCAATCAGTGCCCTTGCCCTGCCCTTCAGGACTTTCTGGGGTAGACAGCATGGGCCAGTATGCAAATTCCCAAGTATCAGCCCAAGAATGCAATGATCTTGCATGTACAGGCTCATCACCTGACGCTAAGGGGCATCATAAAATTATCTTGAGTGAATAAAAATGGCTTACGTAAAACAAATAATGTTTTTTAGAAACCTTGGTTTCTTCTTTAAGCCTGAGTTTTCTCTTGAGAGAAGTAGATGTGACAAATAAATTTATTCAGGCATTTGACGCATCTTTCCTGAATGCCTACTATATGTCAGGTACCATTCTAAGTGCTGGGGATACACAGTGAACAATAAAAATGATGGAAATTGTTATTAATGAGAATGTCCCATGCCCCATTGAAGAGTTTGGTTTACATAGTCAAAACACTCATCTGAGGCATGGATGTGGTTACGGCTATGACCCTATATATTTACAGTAAATTGCCTAAAATTGCTTTGTAGTTGCCGTGTTGTAATTCATACACTCATAGGGCACAGTAAGATCTGGTTATCAATGCAATAATTCCCTGACATAAACCATCCTTCTGAGATGTAATCACCCTTCTCTGGACACGATTTAGGCCACGTCCTTCTAGAAAGTCATCAAGCTTATAAGTGGCCTCACTGGGACTGGAAATCAGGCAGGATTAATTCGAGTCAACCGTCTTCCCCGTCCTCCCTTTTGAGGGCTGGGAAGAGACAGCCAGGTGAGGAAGTCCCAGGGTTCAGACAGTTTAGCTCACGCAGGTCCTATGGGAGGAGGGGCCTTTTTTAGGGGCTAGGGGAGAGAACTCTGTTTTGCCTTGGATATACTCAGTTTGAGGTGCCTATGGGACACCCAGATGGAGATATCTTCTGGACACTTGATATTTTATGAGGGGCTCATATTTCTCATCTCCTTTTGATAACCACAGAAACCTCCTCACCACTTTTAAATAATAAGAACCTTCAGAATATATTAAGCACGGAGACATAAAATTACAGCGGCAATTTTGCTATTATTCCATTGTGTGATATTCATCATACTATGAAACGGTTTGCTTTTCCACTCCGGGTGATGTGGATGGTAAAACGTGGTGCAGTTTCTCTCTGCTTCAAAACCTACTTTATGGCTTTGCATCCTGGGCCACAAAACTTGAGAGAAACACAGGTATTTAGAGATACTGATACGCTTCCCTCTGGTTCCCTCAAAGTTATTGACATAAACGGTAGTGGCAGGTGTGGGTATGACCTGAGATGACCCAAGGTGAACAAGAGCTAGAAGAGAACATTGAAAAATATCCCAGGATTGCCTTTGGTATAAAATCTGAACTCCTTGGTAGGGGGGGAGAGAGAGGCCACCTTTGAGCTGATTTCTCTCCTGCTTCTTCCCTGCCAGGACCACTTTTCCAACGCGACATTCTAGATGCTTCAGGTCGACATGTCCTTGCTCGTCCATATGGCCCTCTCACATCTGGCTTGCCTTTCCTCTCTTTGTCTACCAAATCTTGCCTTTTTCCTTAAATCTAAAACTATTCTCAGCCACTTCAGTTACATGTCCGGCACTCTTGTTAGGGGTGATCAATCTTAGTTCTCGTCACCCCTTTCAAGGTAGCCATCCTCTTAAAGGCAGGGGCCAATCTTAATTATGTTTGCGGTCCCAATGACAAATAGTATAGACAAGTAGCAAGAGCAAATGAGGTATCTGTTAAAATAAAATCTGTCCATTAGGAGAGGTATGTATATAAATGTTTCTGTAGCCTCTCCTAATAATAACGTGTCCTGGGCAGGTGTAAATTTGGAAGTCAGCTGCCTAAAGTCAACTCAACTCAACCCTTAAGGCAAGGCAGCATGCTTATTCTTCCCAATAAAGGAAATTAGCACATTGAATATAGAAATTCACTAGTGGTTTCTGTGTCCACTGGTCTTTGGTTGTCATCAGAAAATGACCAGTGGAAAACCCTCAGGTACAATGGAAGCCCTTATGAAATTCAAGGGCAGGGTTCTCTTTCTCGCATGAGCATCCTTATTTTCATGGGTTTATTTATAACTTAAGCTTGGTTGTCCTAATGCATGTGAGTCCTTACTCCCTTGATGCAGATCTGTTTTATTCTGGCAAGCACAGCATGTGCTATTTTGATAGATTTGAAATGATTTCATTTTAATTTTCCTTTCCCCCAGGGCACCGGCATCCTCTGGGAAGCACAGGAAACATAGGGAAACACGGAAATTAAGAGACTGAAGCACATTATGAGTGAGACTGAAGCACAAAGCTCATCCGTGACACATGCTCCACTTTGGTCCATCCCACCCCCAGTGTGCTGGGAGAGCTGAGCAGTTTTAGGGGCGCTGCACTATCAAGGAACCTATATTTTGGGAAATGTCATGAGTAGGTCAAAACAGACTGGCTGGTTCAGTTGATAGAGCATGTGACTCTTGATCGTGGGGTCATGAGTTTTGAGTCCCATGTTGGGCATGGAGCCTACTTAAAAAGACAGAAAACAACAAAACAAAAATTATACAAGTCCAGTACAGTGATCAGATCTTAGAACTGGGTAAGTAAAAATATGCTTTTGTCCCCTCCCCAGAGAATAGGAAGCATGGATGTTTTAGTCTGTTTCTAAAGGTGTTTGCCCTTCCCTTTGTGGCACTCTTACAAGGATTTACCGGGGAAGCAAACGACAATAGTGTAATCAGCACCTCTTTTTTTTTTTTTTTTTTTTTAGCACCTCTTAATCTGATCACTGTGCAGGGCTGAGCATGGTGCCTGCCCTTCCCTTGCGACAGAGACAAGCAAGGCTCTTGAGTGCCAGGAGCAAGTTGTGAACCCCACCTGCCAGGAGGCAAGGGACATCACACAAGGGCTCCGGTCACCATGTAGGTTGTTTATATGTGATGAGTAGTAAAGCTGCAAATTCTAGGATTATAAAATCAGTCATCATTTAGATAACTCTTCCTTCACGTATAAAAACTCACTTGGGCCCAGATGAGCAAGTGGTTGATAGAATCAACCTGGAAGTGTTTTCCTTCCATTGAGGAGTACAAAACATAAACTTACCTGAAATTCAAATTTCAGGAACTAGCTATTTAGGGAATATAATAACAGCACTTCTTACAAGTCAGGCCCTGTTTAAGTCCTTTTCAGGTATTAAGTCATCTTCGTGTTGGACCCTGAGAGGTGGGCGTATTCATCCCATTTTGGAAGGGTGAAAGCTTGTCTGAGGTCCCACGACCAGTTAAGTGGTACAGGCAGGGTTCGAACCCAGGAAACTGGCT